ATAATTTCTCAACCGCGTGAGATATTAAGACTAGGATTTATTATAAGGAAGGTAATATTAATGGTGTTCTCGACGTATAATTATTAACACGAAACTGTTTTCATGTGGCCGAAAATGGGTAGAGAATTTCATTCCTCCATGTCAACTCTGGGTTAACAGGAGATTACTGTTAAACTGTGATCTTCAGCTAGTAACAAGCTATTATTTGATCACTGCTTGACCTAGTGTCAGTGAATGATTGTATGAAAAGAATACTGATACAGAGTGAGAATATAACTTAATTCTCTGTTATGCAGATGTTAACTTTCCTTCTGCTAACTCGCTGGATGCAACCACACCATGAAGTAGGAAACATTTGGCAAAATACGGTGCAATAGGAAAGGAATTAATTTAATTAGTTTAAAAGTTAGTAATATTCGTAAACTATATTGTTAATACAGGGATGATGTATTAAAATACAAAAATGATGATACCTGCCAACCTATTTTTTTAAACTAACGCAAATAAACAGAATATGTGTCCAGCTTCCTCATTATTATTATTCTACTCAATGTTACTAAACTCAGCCACTATTTAGTGTAAGGTGTTGGAGGGAGCGTGCAAGGGCTATGGTTGGGGGTATTGTTGGCAAATACTCCCCCCCTCCCACTCAGCTACCTCTCTCAGTCCAGCCATGAAAGCGGTAGCCCGCTCGAACACCTGCTCTCCCACTGATGTGGGTTGTGATATGCCCCATGCTCTATGAGGCGCGTGTCATGTGGTAGCTATGTGCTACTCCTTAGAGGTGAAGGTTGAAGGAACATGGAGGGGCGGGTGAGGGACTCCCTTTGTTTACAAAATATTTTGGGTGTATTGCTCTCAGCTCAGTTGCTGCTGTGACGTCCCGCAGTGAACACACTCGTGTATGACACGAAACTATTGACTCCTCTTACACCCGGTGTTGAAGGTCCAGGAAGCAGAGGCTGATACCAGCGGCGGAGACTATGGTGAGAAAGGTACACGTTTTTGGTAAAATACACACACTCCACTCTGTCATCTGTCCTTTCCTACATACCACTGACATATTGTTTAAAACACGAGAGTGTGAGGCACACTACCACCCAAAGCCCTCCATGGGTGGCCCCTTCACACGCCCTTCCCTAACAGTTCACCTAAAAATACTCGATCTCCTATTCATGTCTTCCCATGGCTGGGGGCTCCCCCTCTCCGCCCTCAGCATATCCTTCTCTTTCCTACATACCTTTAACTATATATATCCACATATCATGCGTAACTCTTCGTTACATACTCATACACATTCATCTTACAACTACTACACCTGCTCACCTGTTCCTATACTTATTCCTTACACACACATGACCCAAAACGTGCCACAGGAAATCTCATGCGCGCCCCCGGGGAACCCCCCCAAACCCATTATGACTACAGCCGTGTGCCACACCTGAGCAGGGGGCCTAATTGGTTCACCTGCTCAGGTGGCGCGCGAAGTTCTAGTCATAAACTACGCTACTCTTCAATACTGATACAATTGAGGCTGCCCACTCACTATGTGTAATTGGTTCTAAATTGCCTTCTTCTACATGCCTTTACAGAGCTGATTCTACCATTTGTTTGTAATGAAAATGAACTGTTCTTGCTTTGAAAAAATTAGGTGGAGCCCCAATTTTAAGATGGATTTTTGCCTTATTTTAGTAATTGGTTTACCCGCATCCAGTACATATTTTTCCAACATATCTTTAGGAATATTTATTTTTCACTATTGACAATTCATCCAGGTCAGGTAGGAAAATTACCTCTTTGTCCATGAGGTCCTTACTACATAGGCTAGAATGAATTGAGTCCACTACATAAAAATCATGGACAATTTCTTCCTATTATAGTCTACCCTTGCTGACACCTTGCCATGGAACCAAACTAGTACATTATAATAAGCACTTAATGGTTCCCACCGGGTTTTACACTTAATTGCAAGGTATCTGCCCAATACCTAGACAATGTTCACACTGCAGCACCAGCGTCCAGTTCCAAGGGAACTAACCTCTTCATTAATTATAAAATTCACCACTTGAAACATCACCGAATATACCCTTTTCTTTCATCCGAATATAGTCTACTTTCCTCACCTGCAGCTTCTTCAGACGGTTTACCTTCCTCTACTGTCTTGACCACAGTACCACTACCTCTTCCTCCTGCATTCCTTGGTCATAATCTCTCCATACCATTAGTATTTGTTTCCTAGTATTCTCTGCAAACTCTTCTCAAGTGTCCTTTCTTGTCACAATAGTTGCAGGCAAAATCCTTAAACTTGTAGTTTTAACAATTGTGCTTATATCCACAATGTTTACAACTCGTCTGGCACTGTATGACCTGAAGTTCTTGGGTGTTAGTCTATTTTTTCCCCAAAACTCCTTTTCAGGTTCAATATTTTTTTTAACACTGTTCATGAAGACATCGTTTGTAAATCCAAGTGTTCCTCCACCAGTTTTGGGAAATATTAAATTTTCTACTGCCATGAACAAGTGTTCACTTACCTGGCAGTCAAAATATGCTCCAAAGTTGCAGTTGTTAACAAACGCCTTTAATTCCGCAAATATATCCTGTAAGGATTCCTGCTGCTTTTTTGTCCACCTCTGGAAATCCATCAAACGGCTGTGATGGGAAGGTTTAATTACATAATGACGTTTAAGCAGGGTAATCAGGTCTTCATAGGTCTTCGTGTGGGGTAGCTCTGGCGCACACAAGTTACCCAGGACAATATATATAGACAAATGAGCATTGGCTCTTAACATTATGAACGCTATATAGTGTTGTACCCAGTGATACTAAGAGCACCGCTGTCTTGTTGGCGTCTTCCTTAATCCCACGGTACTGGAAGTTTGCTTTCTGTAGGCTCAGCCACAGCTCCAACCAGATTTTCGTAGCATCAAACGGCTCCATTTTGATTAGGGACGAAGTAACCATAGCCAGGGGATGATTAGGGACGAAGTAACCATAGCCAGGGGTTGATTAGGGACGAAGTAACCATAGCCAGGGGTTGATTAGGGACGAAGTAACCATAGCCAGGGGTTGATTAGGGACGAAGTAACCATAGCCAGGGGATGATTAGGGACGAAGTAACCATAGCCAGGGGTTGATTAGGGACGAAGTAACCATAGCCAGGGGTTGATTAGGGACGAAGTAACCATAGCCAGGGGATGATTAGGGACGAAGTAACCATAGCCAGGGGTTGATTAGGGACGAAGTAGCCATAGCCAGTGGATGATTAGGGACGAAGTAACCATAGCCAGGGGTTGATTAGGGACGAAGTAACCATAGCCAGGGGTTGATTAGGGACGAAGTAACCATAGCCAGGGGTTGATTAGGGACGAAGTAACCATAGCCAGGGGTTGATTAGGGACGAAGTAACCATAGCCAGGGGTTGATTAGGGACGAAGTAACCATAGCCAGGGGTAGATTAGGGACGAAGTAACCATAGCCAGGGGTTGATTAGGGACGAAGTAACCATAGCCAGGGGATGATTAGGGACGAAGTAACCATAGCCAGGGGTTGATTAGGGACGAAGTAACCATAGCCAGGGGTTGATTAGGGACGAAGTAACCATAGCCAGGGGTTGATTAGGGACGAAGTAACCATAGCCAGGGGATGATTAGGGACGAAGTAACCATAGCCAGGGGTTGATTAGGGACAAAGTAACCATAGCCAGGGGTTGATTAGGGACGAAGTAACCATAGCCAGGGGTTGATTAGGGACGAAGTAACCATAGCCAGGGGTTGATTAGGGACGAAGTAACCATAGCCAGGGGATGATTAGGGACGAAGTAACCATAGCCAGGGGTTGATTAGGGACGAAGTAACCATAGCCAGGGGTTGATTAGGGACGAAGTAACCATAGCCAGGGGATGATTAGGGACGAAGTAACCATAGCCAGGGGTTGATTAGGGACGAAGTAACCATAGCCAGTGGATGATTAGGGACGAAGTAACCATAGCCAGGGGTTGATTAGGGACGAAGTAACCATAGCCAGGGGTTGATTAGGGACGAAGTAACCATAGCCAGGTGTTGATTAGGGACGAAGTAACCATAGCCAGGGGTTGATTAGGGACGAAGTAACCATAGCCAGGGATTGATTAGGGACGAAGTAACCATAGCCAGGGGTAGATTAGGGACGAAGTAACCATAGCCAGGGGTTGATTAGGGACGAAGTAACCATAGCCAGGGGATGATTAGGGACGAAGTAACCATAGCCAGGGGGTTGATTAGGGACGAAGTAACCATAGCCAGGGGTTGATTAGGGACGAAGTAACCATAGCCAGGGGTTGATTAGGGACGAAGTAACCATAGCCAGGGGTTGATTAGGGACGAAGTAACCATAGCCAGGGGTTGATTAGGGACGAAGTAACCATAACCAGGGGTTGATTAGGGACGAAGTAACCATAGCCAGGGGTTGATTAGGGACGAAGTAACCATAGCCAGATGGGGGGGGGGGGGGTTGAACACAGCTCACTGTTGAGTAAGTTGTAGCCCGTCCACACACGGTTCTCTTGCTACCCTGATGCTCCTCGCCTCATGTTGCTCCCGGCCTCCCTGCACCTGCTGGCAGTCCTCGTCACCACTGTTGTGTGTGGACGTGGAGACAAACACACGTCGTCACGTCCACATGGCTCTACTCACATAATACAATGACGTCACGCTGATATAGGTGCCATGAATGTGAACAGTAAATACCTTATAGACAAATGAGTATTGGCTCTTAACATTATGAACCTAATCCTAAGTGAACATATTCCTGCAAAATACCTTTATCCTAACAGTTTTTATCATAAATTTACCAAAATGTGGAACAGACTCAACACAAATCACTTTTGTTCACTTTTATTGTACGTGAATTTGTAGATAATATGAAGAAAGTAGAGAATTTGTAATAAATTGTTTGCATTACACAATTTCATATAAAATACATTTTCATAATTATAGTTTCAGGGACTTGTATCAGGAAGATGTTTATTAAAGGTAATTATGTTTTGTTGTCCCACAGACTGTGTAACAATCATCAGTGGTGAGAAGGTGCTCTTTATGAGCCCAAGAGAGCAAGAGGACGTAATGTGCCGCTGTGTTTATCTGAAAGACTTACCAAACATCTGTCCTGAGGAGGAATGTGTACACTTATGGCTTAGCTATTTGAGCACACAGCACATATCTGATGGCCACTTTCCTGCTACACTGTTCTGGTTTCCACTGAGACAGAACCCATCAGAGATATCTGACACTCTTTACTCATATGATCATGTTGTAAGATTATTTGAATCATTTGGCGTGGAAGCTCCTATTTGTTTAACATTTCTTAAGTCTCTGGAGAAAATAAGCTTGAACAGGTTCACTGAAAATAATAATATTCCTGAAGTTATGCACGAAATAAAGCTCATCAGCCCATCCATGTCTGACATTCGAGAAAAGAGAAGAAATTTTAGAGAAAAGCTCAAAGAATGCCATGGATTACCAGAGCAAACAACTACTTGTGATTACGAGGTCACTGTTCGTAGTGTGAAAGGGAAGAACACTCAAGAGGAGACAATGCGCATTCTTCATTTCCTGCCAGGTTCAAATGAACACTTTTCAGTATCGTGGAGAGGCAAGGACAAGAGCAGTCACATGCCTCTAGTAGGTGTTTCTGCTCCCGTTACTACACAAGAGTCCTCGTGGTCTAGAGGTCATATTTTCTGCTTTCTTCCTCTACCTCTAGAAACTGAGAACAATACGAATCTTCCCATTCAGGTCAACGGTTTCTTTGCACTTGATCAAAACAGAAGACATGTTAAGTGGGAGACACAAGAGAGCAGCAACGAACCTGATGTAAGTATCAAATATTATTATATGTCTTTACATGATGGACATTTATGTAAGTTATAATGTTTTGTTGGTTGTTATTAGGACTCTCAGCTGGCTGAGTACCTATTGGTTTGGCCTTGTAATTATGCTTTAAACTTCCCATTTATCCACCAAACTCATATATTATTGTCTCTGACATAATTTGGTTTATATAATTTAACCAGTGTTGCAAAGTTGTGTTTGTCACTGTCCATCATGTCGCCAGTGTGAATCGTTGTCAACATATTCACTTCCCGTCTGTCTTTCCAACACACTGATAAAATATGTCACTTTTCCTCAGCTGACAATCACCCACTGAAATACCTGTACCAGATACTAGCATTTCTCTCCTATGTGTCTTTACTGTGTGTGAACAGTCTTATGTTCCAACAAAAAGATAGTTAGCAAGGGGGATGGTATAATTATTGTCAGTATACAATATGTGTCCCTTGTCAGCACAGGCCACAAGTGCCCCTTGGGCGCATTAGCATCTTTACAATACTCCCAGAAAACCCATGAGGATTGTAACCGAGAAGGTCTACGCCAGTACCGGAATATAACATTACATCTATCAATATAACGGTTTCACCATAACATATAACGATCAATTTCAGTCCAAACCTGTACCATTTCGGTGGTATCTATTGATTGAAAGCAAAAGAACTAGCGACTTGTCAGTCAAAACATTCTGGCCTGGTACAAAGAAATCTTAGAACTTTCCTCACTTTCCGCAGTCTATCAATTGGAACCACAGTTTACTTATTTTCAAAGTGCAGGTACCTTAGAAGTAGGAGAAACCTGTTGCAAGACTTGTATTTCCCCAAACCTGGAGTTGGAACAACACTGTCCTTGTTCCAATAATCTTACATGACATACTTCTCTGATTGTTTCATTATCATACAGTGAATGGTGTGTGATGATGAACTGAATGATGTGATCTACACTGCGGACGGAACGGACATTTTAGATACAGACGTGTTTTTCTAAGATGTTAAATGTGAAGCTGGTAGTAAGCCTCTGTAGTAGGCTGCGTTACGTACCGGTTGGTTCCTCAACTCTGTAGTGAGTTGCGTCACGAACCGGTTGGTTCCTCAACTCTGTAGTGGGCTGCGTCACGTACCGGTTGGTTCCTCAACTCTGTAGTGAGTGGCGTCACGTACCGGTTGGTTCCTCAACCCTGTAGTGAGTTGCACCGTGTACCGGTTGGTTCCTCAACAAGATGTTTCATGAGCAGCTCATCAGAATAAACCACAAAATGCTCACTTTCACTCATATTCTCACCACAGATGTCACTCTGTAACACCAACATCCGTATCATCAAATGTACGTATTTTTGGCTCACAATTCTGCCAGTCCTGACACCCGAGGTCTCCCGGACTGCTTGTGCTGCCGCCAACTCTGCCAGTCCTGACACCCGAGGTCTCCCGGACTGCTTGTGCTGCCGCCAACTCTGCCAGTCCTGACACCCGAGGTCTCCCGGGCTGCTTGTGCTGCCGCCAACTCTGCCAGTCCTGACACCCGAGGTCTCCCGGGCTGCTTGTGCTGCCGCCAACTCCACAGTTCCATCTCTTCTTATAACAACCTGCTGGCCAGGACCTTCATCACCAACCTGCTGGCCAGGACCTTCATCACCAACCTGCTGGCCAGGACCTTCATCACCAACCTGCTGGCCAGGACCTTCATCACCAACCTGCTGGCCAGGACCTTCATCACCAACCTGCTGGCCAAGACCTTCATCACCAACCTGCTGGCCAAGACCTTCATCACCAACCTGCTGGCCAGGACCTTCATCACCAACCTGCTGGCCAGGACCTTCATCACCAACCTGCTGGCCAGGACCTTCATCACCAACCTGCTGGCCAGGACCTTCATCACCAACCTGCTGGCCAGGACCTTCATCACCAACCTGCTGGCCAGGACCTTCATCACCAACCTGCTGGCCAAGACCTTCATCACCAACCTGCTGGCCAGGACCTTCATCATCAACCTGCTGGTGATGAAGGTCTTCAACACTATACAGGCCGACCACGACCACTTAAAGTGGAGGTCACATATCCTCATTATCCTGATGTGGGCGGCCACGCGGTGACGCTTTGCCGGGCGAGTTTGTTGACACACCAAACGTCCAACTGACGGTTGAATTATGTTAAGTAAGAAGGTGGTGGACGCCAAACCCGTCAGTAGTTTCAGAGTGTTATATGATAAAGAGTGCTGGGAAGACGGGACACCACGAGCGTAGCTCTCATCATGTAACTACACTTAAGTAATTACACTTAAATAGCACTACTACTACCCAGTAGCACTACGAGAGTCTCCTCCATTCTGTTCATCAATTGTATTAGTATCAAAACATACATCACACAACGCTGATAAAAATAGTCATCTTCCCGTATTCATGTCGATCAGGAAGAGCAGATGACACCGTAAGTGATGTGGAACACTGGCAGTGTTCCACATCACTCCCTGTATCATACCACACATACCACTCCCTGTATCATACCACACATACCACTCCCTGTATCATACCACACATACCACTCCCTGTATCATACCACACATACCACTCCCTGTATCATACCACACATACCACTCCCTGTATCATACCACACATACCACTCCCTGTATCATACCACTCCCTGTATCATACCACACATATCACTCCCTGTATCATACCACACACATCATTCCCTGTATCATACCACACACATCATTCCCCGTATCATACCACACACATCACTCCCCGTATCATACCACACATATCACTCCCTGTATCATACCACACATACCACTCCCTGTTTCACGCCACACACATCACTCCCTGTATCATACCACACACATCACATTACAATTTAAAGGGGGGCATGAGCCAACTCTTTACACTGCAGGAAGGGTGGCATGAGCCACCGCGTTACACTGCAGGAAGGAAGGGGGGGAGCATGAGTCACCCCCTTTACATTGCAGGAAAGGGGGCATGAGTCACCCCTTTACACTGCAGGAAGCGGGGCATGAGCCACCTCTTTACACTGCAAGAAGAGGGGCATGAGCCACCTCTTAACATTGCAGGAAGGGGGGCATGAGTCTCCCCCTTACACTGCAGGAAGGGGGGCATGAACCTCCCCCTTACACTGCACGAAGGGGGAGGGCATGAACCTCCCCCCTTACACCGCAGGAAGGGGGGCATGTACCACCTCTTTACACTGCAGGAAGGGGGACACGAGCCTCCCCCCTTACACTGCCGGAAGGGGGGGCATGAGCCTCTCCTTACACTGCAGGAAAGGGGGCCATGAGCCTCCCCTTTACACTGCAGGAAAGGGGGCATGAGCCTCACCCTTACACTGCAAGAAGGGGGGCTTCAGCACCCCCTTAGAGTGCAGGAAGGGGGGCATGAGCCTCCCCTTTACACTGCAGGAAAGGGGGCTTGAGCCTCTTCTTACACTGCAGGAAAAGTGGCATGAGCCTCCCCCGTTACACTGCAGGAAGGGGGGCATGAGCCACACTTTTACACTGCAGGAAGGAGGGCATGAGCCTCCCTTTACATTGCAGGAAGGGGGGCATGAGCCACCCCTTTGCATTGCAGGAAGGGGGGCATGAGCCACCTCTTTACGTTGCAGCAAGGGGGGCATGAGCCACCCTTTTACACTGCAGGAATGGGGGCATGAGCCACCCCTTTACATTGCAGAAAGGGGGGCATGAGCCACCACTTTACATTGCAGGAAGGGGGCATGAGTCACCTCGTTACACAGCAGGAAAGGGGGCATGAGCCACCACTTTACATTGCAGGAAGGGGGCATGAGTCACCTCGTTACACAGCAGGAAGGGGACATGAGCCGCCCCCTTAACTACAGGAAGGGGGGCATGAGCCTCTCCTTTACACTGCAGGAAAGGGGGCATGAGCCTCACCCTTACACTGCAAGAAGGGGGGCATGAGCCTCTCCTTTACACTGCAGGAAGGGGGGCATGATCCTCACCTTTACACTGCAGGAAGGGGGGCATGAGCCACCTCTTTACAGTGCAGGAAGGGGGGCATGAGCCACCTCTTTACAGTGCAGGAAGGGTGGCATGAGCCACCGCGTTACACTGCAGGAAAGGGGAGGAGCATGAGTCACCCCTTTACACTGCAGGAAGCGGGGCATGAGCCATCTCTTTACACTGCAAGAAGAGGGGCATGAGCTTGCCCTTTACACTACAAGAAGCGGGGCCTGAGCCACCCCTTTACATTGCAGGAAAAGGGGGGCATGAGCCACCTCTTTACATTGCAGTAAGGGGGCATGAATCACCCCTTTACATTGCTGGAAAGGGGCATGAGCCACCCCTTTACATTGCATGAAGAGGGGGGCATGAACCACCCTTTTACATTGCAGGAAGGGGGGCATGAGCCACCCATTTACATTGCAGGAAGGGGGGCATGAGCCACCCCTTTACATTGCAGAAAGGGGGGCATGAGCCACCCCTTTACATTGCAGGAAGGGTGGCATGAGTCACCCCTTTACACTGCAGGAAGGGGAGGTATGAGCAACCCCTTTACACTGCAGGAAGGGGGGCATGAGCCACCCCTTTACATTGCAGGAAGGGGGGCATGAGCCACCTCTTTACATTGCTGGAAGGGGGGCATGAGCCACCCCTTTACACTGCAGGAAGGGGAGGTATGAGCAACCCCTTTACACTGCAGGAAGGGGGGCATGAGCCACCCCTTTACATTGCAGGAAAAGGGGGGCATGAGCCACCTCTTTACACTGCAGGAAGGAGGGGGGCATGAGCCACCCAATTACACTGCATGAAGGGGGGAATGAGTCACTTCTTAACACTGCAGGAAGGGGGGCATGAGTCACCTCTTTACACTGCAGGAAGGGGGTCATGAGCCACCTCTTTACATTGCAGGAAAAGGGGCATGAGCCACCTCTTTACATTGCAGGAAAAGGGGCATGAGCCACCTCATTACACTGCAGAAAGGGGACATGAGCTACCCCATTACACTGCATGAAGGG